CTATTCTTCGATCCCATCACCTTCAGATCACCAGGGGGAGAACACTAGTGGTGATCAAGTTGATCTTGGGTGGTTAGAGGTACCCGAGGATGTGATATGTAGTTCAGGGGGAGCATGTGTTGACGACAAGGATGAAAATGGGACACCAAATTTTCGACAAGAAATTGCCGAGAATGATATGGGCCTTCAGTTGCTGCCTGCCGAGACAAGTGCAGGTTTTAGGCAAGGTCCTACTGAGGAAGCTATAATAATCCAGCAGCCTACTGCCGAACCAAGTACTTTAAGGGAAGAAGTGCCATCTGCAGAACCCACATCACATTCTCTCTCGCTCGATAGTGCCACCCAATGTGTCTACTCTGAATATCCCTGAGGTAAGTACTACAGATGCTCATGTAACTAATCCAAATAATGATGTAAGTATGTATAAGTTGCCGCCAAGGCAAAATCGTGGTGTTCCTCCTGACAGGTTTTCTCCTGAAGGAAAAGTAAAGTATCCAATATCAAATTATGTGTCGTGCAAAAACCTTGCACCTGAACGTCAAGCCTGGGTAAATAATGTGGAAGCAATCCAAGCACCAACCCGAGTTGAGGAGGCCTTGAAGGATCCTAAATGGGTTGCTGCAATGGATGAAGAAATGATGGCACTACACAAGAATGATACATGGGAGGTGACGGAGCTACCTAAAGGCAAGAAACCAGTTGGGTGTAGATGGGTTTTTACAATTAAATATAAGGCAGACGGATCGGTAGACAGATATAAAGCAAGGTTAGTAGCGAAGGGGTATACTCAAACTTATGGTATTGACTATCAGGAAACTTTTTCTCCAGTAGCGAAGATGAATACGGTACGTGTTCTGATTTCTTTAGCTGCAAACTTGAATTGGCCACTGAAACAGTTTGATGTAAAGAATGCTTTTCTTCATGGGCATCTAGAAGAAGAGGTGTATATGGATTTTCCTCCGGGGTACAATGCCGGAGGAAAAACCGGAGTATGTAGATTGCGAAAGTCACTCTATGGACTTAAGCAATCACCTCGTGCATGGTTTGGGAGATTTACTCAGGTTATGAGGAGGTTTGGGTATTATCAAAGTCATTCGGATCATACATTATTTGTGAAACGGGGAAGTGGTAAAGTGACTGCCTTAATAATTTATGTAGATGACATGATAATAACCGGTGATGATTCAGAAGAGATGATGAAGCTTGAACAAAACCTTGCTGCCGAGTTTGAGATGAAGAATTTGGGAGATTTAAAATACTTTCTTGGAGTGGAAGTCGCTCGGTCATCTAGAGGTATTTTTTTGTCTCAACGTAAATATGTTCTGGATTTATTAAAGGAAACAGGCATGCTGGGGTGTAAACCTGTGGACACTCCTATCGTAGAGAAACATTATTTGGGGATTTATCCAGATCAGGAACCGGTTGACAAAGGGAGATATCAAAGACTGGTGGGGAGGCTGATTTATTTGTCTCATACTCGTCCGGATATTGCTTACGCGGTAAGTGTGGTTAGTCAGTTTATGCACTCACCAAGTGTAGATCATATGGAGGCAGTGATGAGAATCTTGGCATACTTAAAGTCTGCTCCGGGTAAAGGAGTTTTGTATGAGAGTCATGGGCATATGAGGATCGAGGGATTTACGGATGCTGATTGGGCCGGTGATGTGACTGATAGAAGGTCTATCGGGGTATTTTACATTCGTTGGAGGCAATTTGGTTACGTGGAGGAGCAAGAAACAAAATGTGGTGTCACGGTCTTCTGCCGAAGCCGAATATAGGGGAATGGCACATGGTGTATGCGAGATGCTTTGGCTGCAAAAGTTACTTGAGAGCCTTGGTTTTACACAGAAGGAGGCAATGAAGTTGTATTGTGATAATAAGTCCGCTAGAGAGATAGCCGAGAATCCAGTACAGCATGACAGGACTAAGCATGTTGAAGTTGATAGACATTTTATCAAAGAAAAGCTGGAGAAGAAGATTGTGTCAATACCATTTGTGAACTCAGAGGAACAACTTGCAGATGTACTTACCCATGCCATGTGCAATAGAAGGTTTGGTGAGTCGCTTGTCAAGTTGGGCATGAGTAATATTTATGCTCCAACTTGAGGGGGAGTATTGGAATAAGTTAATATTTAGTAGAAAAGAGAATGTAAATATTTTGTAATTACTAGAGTCTTGTTTTAGGAAAGGTATTATGTCCTTTATTTGTTGCCTTTCTTGTAACTAGGGTTGTACATATCCTTTAATTGAGAATTATGGAATACACGGAAATTATCCCGTAAAATTCTATTCAACCTACTTTGATACCATGAAAAAAGTTGAGGTTTCACCACAAAACCAATTGACCATATGAAGAGTAGGTCTCTTTTATAAGTTCATGCAAGATATTTCCTCCCATTAACGTGAACTCATTCTCATCAACAAGAAGAAATAGAATCCTTCTTGCTGAAGCAACGACTCCGAATTCTCTTCCTCCTTTGTTCTTCGTTTTTCAGCTGCTCGGTGTGAATCATCGTCTCACTGAATCAATTTGCAGTTTTGTTTTCAAATAATACAAACACGAATCAAACACTGACAGTTTACTATTATTTGATGGTTGTGAAGTCCTTGTCATTATCTATTAGTTTTGGGTCAACAAATCTTTCAACTTGTGGTGTGACTGAATTTTAATTTTTACTGATGTGAGTTTAACTAATTTAATTAAACAAGTCTTTGATCAATACAGTATTCTTGATCAAGACTTTGTTGAGCAGGATTGCATATCTATGGATTTTCGGTCAGCAAGGAAATTTGTGCGATATAAGCAAATCGATACTTTGACCGGTTTATATAATAAGTGAACAAAATAGAGCCTGCATAAACACATCAACAACAACAAAAATACATCATCCCATTAAGTGGGGTTGATTGTATGAATCCTAGAACGTCACTGTACTCGATTTTGGGCCAAGTATTTTATTAGCTCCAAATAGTCTCTGTCTTTTCTTAAAGTCTCCTAATTTTTTTTAAGTCTTCATCTACCCCTTGTGCCCTTGTGTTATGAGTCTTTGTCACGTAGTTGCGTTTTCTAACTGGAGCATCTTTAGGTCTTCATTTCAAATGTTCAAACCATCTTAATCAATTTTTTCTTATCTTATTTTCAATTGGGGTCATTCCTACTTTACATTGGATATCCTTATTATTCTTGATCATATTATTTCTTGTATGCCCACACATCCTCATGCTGCTATAAAGACTCCAAAGACCTTACTAGTAATTTCATGGCAGCTCCCTTCGAGTAGAATGGTCAAACAAATAGTTAGACTTGTACTAACCAACAGACACTGCTTGTTTGGCCAGTCAACTCTAAACAATCACATTTTAATCAAGTAGTTTAAGCATGCACTATATGTGACCAAGCTGCAAAGTCTTTGATCAATCAACAATTAACCGATCATTTGAACACCATATGTTATTCCTGGTCTCTATCAACATGCAGATCATGACTTTAATCACATCCGGCTTGCGTCTTCCATCAGCAAGGAAGTTTCTGTGATGGTCACATGTAAACTTGTAGCTGGAACTTCACTGTCAAAACTGAAACGTCGTCAAAATAAATCTTCAAAGTGTTTCTTGCTTTTGGCCAAAATCTGTGTTCACCGTGAACCCTTTTCTAGCAAATGGACAAAGATAAACTTCTTGTAATGCTTTTCGCAATTATTGTGCTGTTGATGCCGGCTGCCCTTTCTGCTACAGATCCCCTTTCAATTTTTTGTTCAGCTGATGGCAGAAGTAGTCAATTTGAAAGCAATCTCGAGCGGCTATTGAGTCATTGTCTTCTAACACTTCCATCACAGGAGGTTTTTACAATGACACGATTGGAGATGGACGTGACATAGTCCCTGGACAAGCACTTTGTAGATGGGATGTTAACTCCATAGTTTGTCGAAACTGTTTCATGAAGCAAGCAAGGAAATCTTCAAGAGTTGCAAAACAACTGATGCAATGTTTGGTACAAGCTATGCCAAGTTCAATATCCATACCAGATGTTCTTTCAACTAATCGTTTACACAGGAAAGTATCTGGACAAGGATAGTCAGGAGAAGAATGTATCAATCCACACCATTTCAGTGATGTATATATTGGCCTATTTGATGACAAACGTAGCCGCGTTTAGACCTTCTATGCATACGTTTGCAACTGGGAGGGAAGGATAAACAAAAACTACAAAATCTGTATTTAAATTTGTTAGGGAGTTACGGGAGTTACCATAGTTACGGTTCTTCAAGGACAATACATTATTGTTTAGCTATTATGTTGTTATTAGCCTTTATTAGGATATAATTGGTTTTCCGTCCCATTGTAACCACTAAGAAGATATCTTATAATTTGTGTATAAATATAGGTTGTAATCTCTTAAATCTAGATATTGAATATACGGTTTCTACAAAATTATTTAAAATAAATAAAAATTATAAAATCTAACACTCGGTACCCCTTTTTCATATTTTATATATTTTGGAATTGGTCATTAGGGATTCACATATTGCATTGCAGTTTATGTTACCCAAAATAAGTAAATTAAGACTCTGCGTTATAGTTTCTGATTTATGATAATCAAATTAAATAATCCAATATTTAAAGGTATATAAAAAAAATACAACATTAAATGTGACTAGTCAAACATGCACTGCAATGGATAGTTTAAAAGGAAAACTAATGAAAATGGCTTGAAAACTTTGAGTTTTAATGATAAGGACAAAATAAAGGGTAAAGTAAATAGTACCAGGATTGACTTTTTAGTGTAAAAATGTGGTTTTTCGTTAAAGTGAACAGTACCAGGTGCTTTTCGTTAAACTCCCCTAGTTTAAATCCACAAAAAGCAAATCACAATACGGACATTGCATCGTAGTGTTTGAATCGAACATTAAGATTGCTACTGTGCAATTTTGCATCAATTTCACTTTATTTACGAGTTTGCCACCGGGCTGATTCTATCCTAAATTTCGCTTCATTTACAAGATTGCCACTGGGCTTAACAACGGGTCTTCGGTCTTTCGGCTGGATCTGGGCTTATGGCTTGGGGAGAGAGAGGGAAGGGCGACAGAAGGGTTGAAAGGGAGACGTTCGCCGGGATTTAGGGGAGAGGATTTTCGGGAGGGACGTGCGGGTGGGTGTTCTGTGGCTGATGCATCGGTCAGAGGGTTGTTGGGGGGAGGAGAGGAGGGGGACAGAGGGACTGACGGATTGGAGAGATGGGAGCTACGGGTTTGGACTGAGTAAGAGAGGGATTGGGGTGGGTTTAGGTTTGTTGTCATTCAGTGAGGGTTTCGGGGATGGGAGGCCATGCCTCCTCTGTGAGAGAGAGAGAGAGAGAGAGAGAGAGGCCATTGCCGCAGATCCTCGATTTCATGAGTGGGAGAGGGGAGATGGTCAGAGAAAAGTATGAGCCACCGCTTCGCACGGTGGAAGCTAGCCCAGGCGTCTGTCATCGCTGCACCTCGACTTCTTCTCCGCTTTTTCTTTGCTTTTTGATTCTCTCTCGGCATTCTCAGTTTCTGCTACTCTCCACAAACCCAAATTTCTTTATACCGTTCCAGTATTCAACGATAAACCCAAAACCCAGATCCCTAAACCCAAATTTCTTCATTTTTTTTCCCTCCTCGAGTTCGGACAGGAGCGGCAGATGTACCCAGATGAGTAGATCCTCAAGTCCATTTTATGCTCCTTAACAAGACCAACACGGTCGACTACGCCATGGACATCCACAAGTCCCTCCATCACACCGAAGATGTTCCCCAAGGTGATTATATAGACACCCCCTTTTGTATTTATAGGTGTATGTGTGTTTGTTTGTGGTAATTTTTGTATATACAGGTCTGTGTGTGTGTTTGTATATGCGCACCCATTAGGTGTTTGACAATTTGTCTCTGTGGATGTTTAGATATGGTGGATAGGAGGGTAGAGGTGGTGGCTCGCCTCAAAGCTCTGCCCTCTCTCTCCACCCCACCCCTCGCCCAAGGTTTGGTTTAGAGTCTAGACCCCTGTTTGGTTTCCGGGAAAATCCCAAGCTCAAATATTCTCGCACTTTTTCTCAATTTTTGTGTTGGAATTGATAGGTTGCGTTGAAGGAGGTTATCGAGAAGGTTCTCGCTGAGCCGATACGGCTTCAGTTCGTTGTGGCTAATATTGGAACTGGGTTTTCATCGAATCTCTTGCACAGGTTTCAATTACGTTGAACTTGAATGTTTTGAACTGAAGTCAATCAGGAATTTTTTGTTGTTGAAACCGTTGTACTTGAATGATATAGATGTGGGGAATACATTTACAGAATGATTAATTTTAACCATTGAATTTTATTTCATTTTTCCTTGGAGTTTGAGTAACAAGATCATCAAATTCTTATATTCGTTATTTGTGAGAATAAATACAGATGCATAACAATATTGTTACACTTCTACTTTTCTTTGGTTTTTATACATTTTGTGTGTTTGCTTAGTCTTGCCTTGGAGTTGGATGCACTTTGTGGGATGGATTGTGATTTGTTTGAAAATATCTTTAGTGTGGAGGGAGAGGATAGCCGGGATTTTTGACTCGGGGGCGGGTGGGTGTGTGGCTGTGGGAGATGCATCGGTCAGAGGGTCGTTGGGGGAGGAGAGGAGTGGGACAGAGGGAATGACAGATTGGAGAGAGAGATGGGAGCTACGTGTTTCGACTGAGTGGGAGAGAGATAAAGGGATTTTGTCCAATTTTTGAGAGAAGGATGGACAGGGAGAGAGAGAGAGAGAGAGAGGGCAGAAAGCATGGCTGTGTGCATTTTTTGGGGTTAACGGGTTACTCCACAGGGTTGTTAAGGAGAGAATGGCTGAGGGAGGTATGGGAGAGAGTGGGTTTTCAGTTTTCACCTCTGATTCAACAGGGAATGCACTGTTTTAAAATCATTGTTTATTGTTTGGTTTGCCATTTGCTTTGTTAAAACTGTGATGAATATTTTGTTGTTTCATTAAAATTGTAATGGATGTTTATAGGCTGTTTAGTTGGGTGTTAGGGAGATTAGGCTGTTGAGTGCTCTGTTTCCGTACACAGTTAGAGTCAGGTTTGTGTCTTCATAAGCTAGGGGGTTGCACTGTGCTCATTTCTGTGTTTCTTCATGATTTGCTGCTGTTTCCTTCTCAACAAATCAAATTGAGGTTGCTTTTCCGCTTCACATCGTTTGAATATCCCTCTGTTGCTAGATTGTTTCTCCATACTTTGTTGCTTCTGTATTTCTGTGATGTGAGTGTTGGGGAGATTAGGCTGTTTTAGCAACTGTTTAGCTCCTCTGTTGGTAGTTTGTTTTTCCAATTCTTGGTTGCTTATGTATTTCTGTGATGCACTTCTTAATTTTTTCTTGACATGTATGCAGATCAAACACAAGCATACACATCAAACCATGCATTCACAGAGCAGGCGCCAAAAAACCATCATTGAGGTATTTGTTTATCCATTCTTAATTTTGTTAGGTGTTGGAACAAATCGCTTAACTGTGTTCGAATGCAGACTCTTATTCTCTCTAATCTTAACTGTTAGGGTCCTCTGTTATATTCTCATATCTCTTCTGCATTTGGATTTGGATTTTATACAAATAGATTCTTGGTCAAACAAAATGGGAAAAAATGGTTGTTTCAACATCACTTCTTTAGTTCTATGAGAGGAACTCTGTTCGAATTCTTACTCTTATTCTCTCTAATTTTTTGCTGTTTAGTTTGGACTCCTATCGCAGCATCATCATTTGCTCTTGCAGCTGCTTTTGATGCAAAGGTTCTCAGCCATGACATTTGAATCAAAATTCTGGTATGCCACCTGACCTTTGATGCAGTGCTTCCCCGTACTTTCCATTTGAGTGATTGTTATTTTTGTTCTCTGTAGTTTTTAGGTTTATGGATAAAATATCTTAGACCTCTTTATTTATTCTCCGATATGATTCCAATTTGGCACTGTATTATTTCTTTAAGAACATTTCAAATGAGTCTATTTGTTTCTGAGACGTATGTTGTAAAATTCTGCTCTTTTTATGGCTTCCTGCTTCAAGGGCTTATTAACTTTAGAATTTGTACCATAACAATTAATTGTTTTTTACCTTTCTGAAAAATAGAAGTCTTCTTGGTCAGTCATTTTGCACTTGAATTCTTCGTAGTCAGTCATTTTTATCTGATGCGAAGACCTTTGTATCAATCATTGTTTCAGTTTATCGGTAGAAATGAATGACTTCTTTGTTATAAAACTCCTCATGCTGCTGCAGCACTTTTACTACTTTTTGAGGTTTATGTAAATTTTCAAAGAAATCGCATGATACCAATAAATCAGAGGTTTAAACATAGTAAATCTTGCAAGCAATGTGTTGGAAGAGTTTTGTGCTTCATAGAACAGTTTTTTTCTTAAGGGCTGTCAAAATTTGGAGTGTTGGTGGGATATTCAATTGGTGGTAGGTAGGTACTGGTGAAAGGATTAGATTTTGGTAGGCTTTGTTGTTGGGAATCACATCTTTGCAATCACATTTTTTGTTTTTCCCGTGAACTAGGACATAAATGAAGAGAACCTTCAAGACTTAAACTGCTGCCATCTTTCTGATGTGCCTGATGTTTATGTTCGGTTGAATTTCAACTTCTAGGTAAGTTTATTATAAGTAATCTCATGGTGGTTTGGAAATAGCATTGACTATTTGTGTAGTACAAACTTCTGTGTAGCACTGCTGCCTTCTACTTATGCTACAAGTACAAGGAATCATGAGTCAATTTTGATTCACTGTGCAGGTGCATTTTAGCCACACACTGACAGCTACTGCTGCACTTTAGGTACAATTAAACAACCATCATTCTCCAATTCATGTGAAAAACTCATGTACATTGTATATAGTTGGGACTTTAAAAAATCCGACATTTTTTTTTAAGATAGGCTTTTAATGTAAATTCAATAGAATGTAGATCCAACTGAAAGACTTAATTTACCATGTCGATTCAGTTGCTTTGATTGGTTTCTGAATAATTTAAAAATTGGTGTGTTAAACTATGGTTACGAATTCAAAACCCGCAATGGAGCTTGGGCATCTTTGCTAGTATCAACTATAGTAAAGAGTAAGGTGTGCAGCAATATCAATTATTGTAACTTTTCTTGCTCATCGTAGTAACCACCATGTATTTTCCGATTACAATCAATGTAAGCCGAGACGAAAGGAACTAAGAAACAGTCGGTCACAGATCGACAATTTAATTCTGACCACAAAGTAGAAAGGTATATCCACCGAAACGAGTAAATGATTGTCAGAATTGCGTATTATAATTGATTTACTTTGTTGACTGAGAGAATGCATGCACCGAAAAGAAAGGAGAAGTTGTTCCAGTCTGTGGTTTACTTTATTTCAATGGTTGAATAGTATAAGTCTCGGAAGAAGCTTCCTTGAATAGCATAAGTCTAGGAAGAAGCTACCTTAAATATTTAATTTAGCACTCCCGTCTATATCAGCATCTTCAATTATAACAGTGTGAAACCTCGCTGATGAAAGAATAATCAAGTAGTATTTGATTTAAATTATTATGCATTTTAAATTCCAACTTATGTTATTGGCTTGAGACCGTCATAACGGCATCCTTTTTTCATAAGAGTTGAGTAGGCTTGGTACATGAAAAAGTTGTAAACGAAAAGCCAGATAATTAGAGATCATGTAGATTGTAGAACACTTAAACATGCATGTGCAGAGGAATGGTAGCAAGTACTAATAATACCGTATCGTAGCTAGAGCTATTACTAAAAGTCTTCCCACCACCGCGTCTTGCGTAAATTGAGGTATTCATTGACTTCGTTCTTCATATATAGACGTGTAGCAAGTTTTCCATCAGAACTATAATCCTCTTTTACAAACCAATTTTAGCAAAAATATCAAATAATGCCAGCAATGGATTCCTCAAGATTTCTATCCTGCCTCTTTCCCATTCTGTTTCTCATGATTAATCAAGCCCTTGGTCAAAATTGCATAGACGGAAAAGGAAACTATACCACCAATAGTACCTATCAGACAAACCTCAACCGCCTCCTCTCCTCCCTGCCCTCCGACGAAAACGGCAACGGGTATGGCTTTTACAATGCATCCTATCGCCTAAACTCGTCGAACGAGCACATTTATGCAATCGGACTTTGTAGAGGAGATGTCAAGGCGGAAGATTGCCGTAGCTGCCTAAATAATTCCCGATATGCTCTCCCTCAGAGTTGCCCTAATCGGAAGGAAGCAATTGGTTGGTATGATGACAATTGCATGTTACGCTACTCAAACCGCTCCATCTATGGCGTCATGGAAACTGAGCCTTCTCCCGCTTATTATAACATTAATAACGTATCGTCGTCCGACCTGGATGGATTCAACCAACAGCTGAGGAAGCTACTGGAAAGCATAAGAAGTGAAGCTGCAGCTGGCGGTTCTCTTCGGAAATTTGCATTCGGAAACACAAGTGCCCCATCCTTCCAAACAATATTTGCACTAGCGCAATGCACGCCAGACATATCAGAGCAACTTTGCAGTGATTGCTTAGTTGGGGCTTTTGCAGATATCTCCTCTATTTACGGGAAAGTAGGTGGGGGAGTTAATAAACCTAGCTGTAAGTTTAGATTCGATCTTTACCCCTTCTATGACCCTACAACTGTCAAACAACTGCCATCTCCGCCACCAATAACACCACCAATACATTCTCCACCACCATCAACCAATACCACAAACACTTCACAAGGTACGCACGTACAACGTATATGTATGTACACTCCATTACAGACGCCGATGACTGCATATTTGCTTGACACTGATCTCAAAATTTAATTGATCAATGATAACTCCTCTCGCTGATAGATCAATCACTTAAACATGTTATTCAGAATCTCATATGATTAGAGAAGATATATTTCTGATTTTACTTTGCAGGATCGAAGAGCAGCAAATCTCGGACTGTCATCATTATTGTTGTGTCAATTATTGCTTCTTTGGTATTAGCAATGTTCATGGGCATTTGTCTAAGAGTACGGAAGGCAAAGAAAAAGCTTCAAAGTAATTTAATTCCAGGTACGTACTGTAACAAAATAGACACAGTAACATTAATTTAACTCAATTTGCTTCAAGTGGGAAGCCTAGTACCGTTACGTCCATCTAGATCTAATTATGTTACATATGAAATTTTTGTTAAAATTGTACCACAGACGAAGACATGGATGAAATTGGAAGTGCAGAATCCTTGCAATTCAATTTTGACACCATTAGAATTGGCCACAGATGACTTTTCTGAAGCCAATAAACTAGGACAAGGGGGATTTGGTTCTGTTTACAAGGTAATATATAGCACATCTATTGAAGATAACATTCTCACATCATACCTTACGAAATAAAATACAATATATAGTGATTGTTCCACCATTGATCATAACACAGAGGCCGGCTTTATTGTGAAAAAACCTAACCTGCCAATCTTAACAACTTGATGATATATATGGGCAACATCACCAATTTCATGTATATATTCCTTAAATGCAACCTTTTTGTTTTGATACTCTTTCAGGGTAGGTTATTCAATGGAGAAGAAATAGCAGTGAAAAGGCTCTCCGTAAATTCTGGACAAGGAGATTTGGAGTTTAAAAATGAGGTCTTGTTAGTGGCAAAGCTTCAACACCGAAACTTAGTTAGGCTCTTGGGTTTCTGCTTGGAAGGAGTTGAAAGGCTTCTTATTTATGAGTTTGTCCCTAATGCAAGTCTGGACCACATCATATTTGGTATTTATGCTTCAATGTTCCTTTTGTACCATTTTAGCTTTAACTTCAAAATTTTACCATAAAATCTCATTCTTGTAACATACAAGAAACATTGTAACCTTGGTTTGAATTGAACATGCAGACCCAATCAAGCGTGCACAACTAGATTGGGATAGGCGCTACAAAATCATAGTAGGCATTACTCGAGGGCTCATTTACCTTCATGAGGATTCACGGCTTAGAATTATCCATCGTGATCTCAAAGCTAGTAATATCTTGATAGATGAAGAAATGACTCCCAAGATATCAGATTTTGGCATGGCAAAATTGTTTGGGGTTGATCAAACACAAGGCAATACCAGTCGAATTGTGGGGACCTAGTAAGTACTCGACAAGGCTACATGGCTTATATTATAATTGTGTCAATCTATATCAATAATCCAAAGTCCTCATCGAAGTTAGTGATCATAAAACCAACATATATTATTCTTGTTTCGATATGCAGTGGATATATGGCTCCAGAATATGCGATGCATGGGCACTTTTCTGTTAAGTCAGATGTCTATAGTTTTGGTGTCTTAGTTTCTGGAGATAGTGAGTGGACAGAAAAATAATTCCTTTCGTCATGGCGAGAACATGGAGGATCTTCTAAGCTACGTAAGTACTTAAACTATATGCATAATGCAACCAAGAAAAATAATTTATCTCTAACTATATTTCTACGAATTTCACAATGCAGGCATGGAAATGTTGGAAGGAAGGGACAGCTTCAAATCTAATAGATCCCGCGTTGACGAACGGTTCAAGAAATGAAATAATGAGATGCATCCATATTGGGTTGCTATGTGTGCAAGAAAATATACCCGATAGGCCAACCATGAATGCTATTGTTCTAATGCTTAACAGTTATTCAGTCACTCTTCCAGTACCCTCACAACCAGCATTTTTCAGAGATAGTAACGTTGGATCTGACATGACTTTGGGATGGAAGAATAGTTCGGAGGTGATTACAACCGGGTCGGATCGATCCAATGGCAACTCTGTCAAAGCACCAGAAAATGAGGTTTCATTGATCACTGAAGTATATCCTAGATAGCTTCTTAAGATGAAAACTGCATTTCTAAAAAAAGATTATAATGTGTAATTTACCATTTATTTGGTCATTTTTCTTTTCAATGGTTTAGGTAATTTGCAATAAGGCTTGTAATGTAAAAGAGATAGACCAAGAGTTGTTTTGGGACCAGTCTACCAATCACGGTAGAAAGTTAACCAATCAAACGAGGACTTTGATTAATTGGACTTGAATTTTCTCCCCTCCTATTTCTCTCTCCTTTCATTTTTTTTTCAAAAGTAATTATCTAACTGCTTGGAGCTGTGCCACATATTTAATAAGCCTTATTTTGTTTTATATTGTTTTTGTTCCACAATCATTCTTCTTCTCCACCCTTGTTCACGCCACCACTTAACCTTCCTCCTCTTGCACATCATCCGGCCACGGTTTGACCATTCTTCTCTCTCTATCGGTGTTGAAAAGATTCCAAGCATTTGATGAAAAAAATTGACGTTCATGGTTTATTGTTTCAAATTCGGGTTTGAATAAAAGCAATAAAAAAAAATAAAATAAGGCTCATTGAATGTGTGGCTTAACTTCAAGCCAAAAGATTTCTTTTGAACGATCTAAACTGAAAGAAGGGGATAGGATCCTGATTAATTTGGCTTGTCGCCACCACTCCCATCTCTATCAACCTTCTATGACTAATCTTCATCACATGCGTTGCATAAAATGAGATGTTTGTTCACGTTGTCATAAACATTTTGCTTTGCTTTTAGCCATACCGTGTCTTTGTCAGAAACGCTTTTTAATTTGGAAGAATTTTTATAAGAATGATTATTGAATGAAGATCTAAAAAATAAAGAATTTTGACTATAAAAAAATATTGTGGAATTAGTCCAAACACGTAACACGTCATCTTAAATTATTGACCTTTTATCGTATGAACGCTTGTATATACATTTTTTCCTTAATTTGACTAGAGTTAGTAACTAATTAGCTGGGTGGAGTGAAATATATGCTGCAAAGAAATCATGACTAGTTCAACTAGTTAATTGTCATTTATTTCACCATTACTTTACCCTAAAAAAGAAAGATGAGGACGAAAATAGTGCAAGCATTATAATTTGTTGCAGACTTCCACTAAACTGAACGGATTCTAATTTGACGACGAATGGAATATCCAGAATCAACTTTCTTTTCACCTGTATCTTGTCTTTTATATTGTTCTTTTCCATGATCACTTTTTGGTAAACATAAAATTGACTACTACTGATCACAAGAAAGAAAAAAGAATGCCCCCATTACAACGATGTCTTCTGACCGCCCACTCATTAATTATATATCCAAAGAGTAAATGCTAAGAACATTAAATTTGTAAACAAAACTTTATAAGCTAAATGACATGGAGGTTGATATTGAATTATCATTTAATTTGATTTACAAATTTTGTCCACAAAAATTTAGTTTTCCTCAGCATTACTCATATCCAAAACAATTTTTTTTTCAAATGAGATCCTTGTAATGTCCTAGCAGGTTTCACCTTCTACATTATAAGGATGATTGCTTAGTAAACAACTTTTAAGATCACATTATGTGTGTCACTAATAAAAATAAGCATGTTAATCAACACTTAAGTAATAATTTAATCATTAATAATCACGTCATATGATTTACAAAATATAATTTAAATAGATGGTATTCCTTCAACATTTCCGTTTTCACTAATCAAGATTAGAAAAGACTAATTGGAAAGGTTCAAGTAGGCAAGGACCGAAACATCAAAAATTCACTACTCATTCTCCGCCGCGTTGCATGATATATATTTGATCGATCAAAAGCAAATATCCTTAGGTCCTGGTCTTTCTTCATATAAACCGTTCAAGGATCTAGACGATGGATTTGTTGCTAATTAATTAAGTCCTGCCAATCAAACAATACCAGCATGCATACATGACATAAGGAATTAGGGTTTATCAAATTAATCTATCAGCCATCTGGACTTCCGCTTTTGCCCATTGACAGTGATATTCAAAATGGTTCATAGGTTTTGATTTTTTCATATTATATTATAAGGTTTTTGAATCGTTTTAATATATATTTTCGTATTATTCGAACATATATAGGTTTTTTAAATTAATGACGTTGCAAGTGTGTAATTCGATACATAGGTTAATGTGTCACACCCCGTCTCGAAGGAGGGTATGCTGGCCGTCACGTGAGCGTGACGTAACCAGCATACCCTCCTTCGGGACGGGGTGTGTCATAATGTGTAAGTCACATTTATATTATTATGGACAAAAAAATCTCATTAATATTGGAGCTTCGGCTTCTCCTAAATCAATCTTCAACAACTGATTGAACAATTAGAAGGTGAATTTAGAACCCAATGATCCATTTCAAAGTACTTAAAATTTGAAGAATGTAAAATGTAATCGATCCATCTTATTATCATTCGTGGATATGAGAAAAGCATATCCTGGTACAAAACTACAAAAGCACTGCCTGCCACACACTAGATAAGCTATGAACGTGAAGACACAGACACATAATACATAGACAAACCTTCCAAAAAAGAAAAAATAAATACATATGGACCAACCCACATTTGACATGCACAGTAATTGCAGTGGTCAAGACTGTAACACTGCAACAGCGCGTGTCAAACAAATTCTAACTAGTAGCTAGTAGTCCACGACTCCGCAGATCATGACCATCATGTCTTTTTACCTAGCTACAAATATGAAAATATGATGATTAAATAGTTGTAATTATGTGTTTTACTGGAAGTTACGCGAAACTTAATCTATTTTTTCTCATACAGTGGAAGGTCTTAATTTAGAGTGATCAATGTTATATATCATCCAATCTTTTTTTACCTTTTCTATAATTTTCGCACTCCTATCGAAATTATTTTTCCTTTGAATATCATATCAAGTGAGATAATGTAGAACATAATTCCTCATGCATGTTCTATTTATTAATTTGTTCTGGACAGATGCTGGCCAATCACACACACATGAACATATGCTCATGACAGCATACACACATGAGATGAGTTCATCTGCGTGCAACTGAAAGGCAAAATAATACGCTCTTTAGCTAGGCTTCGGATTCTTACCGGGAAAGCAAACTCTCTACAGTTCATATATGTACTGCTTAGTGCTCACATGAATCGTGATGATGCAGGTAGGACAAGGCAGAGAGAGAGAGATACAGCTTAATTTCTACCCGTTAGGGAGCACGTGAAGCTACTTTATGTCTTATGTGCTTAATGCTTCAATTGTAGCTTATTTAACTGATGACAACTAAAATTATAACTGACTCTAAAAATTGAGAGAAACTCACATAAAACATATTGTATCCCCGCCTTTAATTTTTACCTATATCTCTCAACAGATGAGAGAAATAGAGATATAGGTAAGTTTTTCTCCGAAAAAAATATCGACTACTAATCAAAATGTCTCTCATATTTAATCTTTTGGACAATCCATCGGTTATGCAGGAATATAGGGAAAGAAGGGGAGGTGGTGAAATATTTTTTGTGACCATTAATTTGCCCTACCATAGTTTCTTTATGGTTGTGAGGTAAAGTTGAAGGTTCCTTTTTCTTTGTTTTTTCTTAGATAGATAAGCTTCAAGTTCCTTTCAAAACAACAGTCTTACCAACTAAATAAACATCAAATTGTAATAGAACAAGCACAACTATCTTATCTTTTTATTTTTATTTTTTATTTTGGATCAGTTATTGGCAGAGTGATTTAAAAAAAAAATATCGTTAATAAAAGAGTAATGTAAGGTACATCAAATTTGTAGACAAAATTTACAAAAAACCGATGTGTCATTCATAAGAAATAAACACATTAGTCAATACTTAAGTAATAATACAATCATCAACTTCTATATCATTTGGTTTACAAAATTTAATCTACAAATTTAATCTTCCTGATATACCCTAAATTAAAACCATAAAAGTTATCAATGTTTAATGAATTTTTTTGGAGATATCAGGCAGTGGAATCAAGTTGCCCACTATAAAAAAAAACCTTATCCTAAATTCATAGAATTTGGGCAATCTTACCAAAGAAATGTACACATCAATTTCATTAGAAAAAGCACACACTATCATTTCTTATTGTTCTTTTTGGATGTTATTGCTTCTGTTCTCTTCGACAAATGTCATTCAACACTCTGTCCGTGTATCCTTATAAATTTAACACCACTCTACTCTAAGATGACTAATGTATACAAATCATGGACAACCAAAAACTCACATGCTTAACTCTTTCCCTTTCAATATTTCTCATCACCTTCACTCATTCACAAGCAAAACAAACTGAACCCATCTCAGACGCCCTCAGAACCGACAACTTCCTCAACCAAACCTACCAATGGCTGAGCCACCAAAGAGCACAGCTCCAAGAAACCCAGTTCAAATTCTCAGCCCCCATTGTCCTTGCCGGAATATTCTGCTTCATAGCCGCCTCCATATCAAGTGCCGGCGGAATCGGGGGTGGCGGGCTCTTCATCCCTATACTAACCCTAGTGGCAGGCCTAGACCTCAGAACAGCCTCAAGTCTCTCAGCTTTCATGGTCACAGGAGGGTCAGTTGCAAATGTTATGTACAACTTGTGCATCAAAAGTTCCAAATTTGGAGGCAAAAGTCTGATAGATTATGACATAGCTCTTCTATCAGAGCCATGCATGTTGCTCGGAGTGAGCCTTGGAGTGATTTGCAACCTAGCTTTTCCAGAGTGGCTGACTACTATTCTCTTTGCTCTATTTCTTGCTTGGTGTACCTCAAGGAGCTGCAAAAATGGGTTGGTGCGTTGGGAAATGGAGTCAGAAGAGCTGTTGCGGTTGAGAAATGATGGTGAATATTTGGAGCAAAAGGAAATAGAGGCACCCCTTTTGGGGACAAAAGGAAATTGCAAACTAGGGATTCCATGGAAAAAAATGGGGGTCTTAGTTCTGGTTTGGTGCTCTTTCTGCCTCGTCTATCTTCTCCGCGGTAATCGGTATGGACAGGTAAAGCTAGCCTTTCGTTTTGAGAGTGTAAATCCTATATTGCGGAAATAAACCATTGCATAATGGTTTAAATGGTCATAATATCTCCCACTATTGCCAATTAGTTTTATGTTTGATGCTCGGAAAAAGTCGATTTCAATCGGGCACAAGTGGGAATGATTCTCACACACATTATGTTCCAAAGTATAATTTTATGACTGTGACACTTCGATTCCTTTGCAGGGTATCACACAAATAGAGCCTTGTGGAATGGCTTATTGGGTTCTCTCATCAATCCAAATCCCTCTTGCCATAATCTATACAGCCTGGATGCTATGCAAAAAAGAGAACCTTCAACCTCATACTTTAAACCAAAAGGTATTAAAGATTTGGTATAATTTTCAGGATTTTCTTTCATTTGAAGGATACTCTAGTATAACCTAAACGATTGATAGTGGGATTCGAACTTGGATGCCCCTAACCAACTTGGCTATGCCTACGTCTGCATTTAACGAAGATTTTGATAAAGCTAAACATTTTTGTTACTTATTTTTATGCAGGATATTCAGGACCTGCAAAATGTTGGACCATCGAAGCTAGTTTTCCCATCAATGGCACTACTAGCAGGGATTTTGGGGGGTGTTTTTGGGATCGGAGGTGGAATGCTTATAAGCCCTCTTCTTCTTCAAGTTGGGGTAGCACCTGAGGTAAAATTTACCCTAATTCATCTTATTTTTATGATTTTAATCTTCCAAACTGTCAAGCATATGCTTATTAACAACTCACATTCCGGAGCAGGTAACGGCGGCAACTTGTTCGTTCATGGTATTCTTCTCGTCTTCCATGTCGGCATTTCAGTACTTGTTACTGGGCATGGAGCACGCAGATACTGCACTCATCTTCGCCATCGTGTGCTTCGTTGCATCGCTTCTTGGACTGGTGGTGCTGCAGAGAGCAATCAAAGTGTATGGAAGGGCTTCTCTAATTGTGTTCTCAGTTAGTATAGTGATGGCTTTGAGCACTGTTCTGATGACTACCTTTGGGGCTCTTGAAGTGTGGAGAGATTTTGTATCTGGAAATTACATGGGATTCAAACAACCATGTTAATAACAATATCCCAAGCAACGGAAGAAACATATCAAACACAAATTTCGTAGTTGCTACTTTCATTAGACTCCGAATCCAAACTTCGGAACTTTCTTAACCCCCTGTCGAACAAATTCACTAGCATCTCGATCGTCGAGAGAAAGGTCAAATACTACTAAACAACGATACATAACATTGGTAAAAATAAACCAAGAGTGTCATGAATGCCTCCAAGTTTTGCATTTTATAGCACATAAATCTTCGATCCCGAACAATTTACAGGTCAAAAATGGAAAATCATACAATCTACAGAGGTAATGCTTGATGAGAACTACAACTTTTATAAAAAGCAGTCAATCAAAGTAGAAAGCTGGAACAAAATAATCAATTACGAGAAATAACTTTGAAGGCTTCTATGAGCACCGGTAAGATATAATTCAAAGCTGCCAACTCAAGCAACAGGAGGGCGGAGAACATGGTCCTGTGAGGTATCAACTGCAGCTGGTGGCATGAACTGCCACATGGACATTCCAGGGTACCCGACGAAGGGCATCATTTTCCCGCCAACAACTTGGCCCGGGGCAGAAAACGGAGTTGGGATTGCAGCAGGGTGAGGAAGGAAGCTTGGTTGAGTACCCAAGGCTTTAATCTGACGCTCGATGTTGTCTTTCTCCGCTTTCAGCCTCTGCTTCTCATCACGAAGTTCATTCTTCTCAGCCTGCAGAAAAGGTAAATATAAAAATTACCGAAGGCACTGACTCAGCTATTCAAGCAGTTTAGTGAACAAAACTTCTTACACGAACTGCATCCTCATATGCCTTATAATAAATAAACACAGGCATACCTTCAACTCATTTATCGTCTCCTGCAGATTTGCACTTGACTCCTTTAGTTGTTGGGCTTCCCCACGTAACTGAGTTACCATTCGAACAGCATCGCCCAGTATAGCAACCTTGTCAGTTTTGGGTGGCCTTCCAGGTTCAAGGATAGAACTCAATTCCGCAAACCTTAGGATTATGCGAAAAGTCAAGATGAGAAAGAGAGTAAGAAAGAGTGAGAACGACACGGAGAGATCTTTGAGCATTAGAGAACTAGAGCATGCCTGTCATTCAGTCTATCCCGCCGCATTTTCTCTCTACATGCTTTAGAACCAGACACACTGTTTGATCCAGTCCTAGCCCTGCGATTGAAACAATAAGCGCAATTCAATCCCGATGAAACAGAAGGATAGTCACATAGCAAAGTTATTCCAACTAAACTCCAAAACAAACACAAAATCTCTATGCTCAAGCACTCTTGGTACTTGGTACTCAGTAGACATACCGTTTTCGCAACCCAGTTTCCTTCATGCTGTCTGGATTTCCAAATGAGTCATCAAATTCCGTGCTGAGAAATAAAACAGCAACACGAAAATGAGTTCATCGTCAAAACACAGAAAGTTGATCTTGGTCAACATAGTACAGCCAGAAAATGTTCAAAAGGAATACTTTTAACACAATGTCTACGTCATTAGTATTACTCATCAAATTACAGCATCCTCTTTTGATTAAATTAAATTCAACTAAAACGGCCAGCATTTTTCATAATTTGCAATAAAATTAAGCAGTTAATGACTATTATAAACAAAAATCTCTCTCTATGATTATCTAATCATAAATCATCAGATTAAGTCCTGCAAAATTATTATATTACCTCTCACTCATCAAACAAAATAAGATCCAGATTAATAAACAAAATCCAGAATTATAAAATTAAAGTTCACGAAGAAATTGACTAATTATAAAAGTTTCAGGAGTACCCAGCTGAAATTAAAGTTTAGAAAGAAATTGGTCGGTTATAAAAGTTCGGGTAATTGACCAAAATCAAAGCAAGAAATTGACAGCTCTTTACAAATTCGAAAGGAAATCGACAAATGCCTCATTTACGATTCAAATAAAACAGTATTAAAATAAATTGGATAATCATCAGAAAAGAAAAAGAATTAAAAAACATTGATTCCCAATTCGCATTCAACAGCAGGGAAAACCCAATTGCAGCAAAGAGATGAACTTTGTTACCAAAAATGGGGATACGGTACCTGGGAGCAGTCGGACCAGCAAATGAATGATCCGGCCAAGAGAAACCGGGCGGGTCAAGCGACGGAAGTTCACCGCCTGGCACAAGAATGTCCTCAATCACACCATAATCGAAGACCCAGTTGGGATTCTGCGGCGGGGAACCCATGTTCTAATGCTTGCCGGAAATTCCGAATTTCCGGCGGTGAACCCTGCAGAGGCAGCGCCGCCGTGGTCGGCCGGGAAACGCAATGGGAAGGAATATTCCGGAATCAATTTTTTTGATTAAATAATTTTCTGAGTGAATTTTGGTTGATGGGGGATCTCGGTGGTTGGAACTTGGAAATATATATGCGGGAGGAAAAGAAAAAAAGTGGAGAGATATTATTTTGTTGCAAATTATGGAAAATCAAGCAAAAACGGAGCTGGTGCGTCGCCACGTTGCACAGACACCACAAAATGTGCCATTAAAAAATTCTTCTTTTTTTATTTTGCACCCTTGTATTTTGCTTTATTTTTTTTAGTCCCTTGGTAGTTGGTTCTTTGCATTGGGCCTTGAGTTCCAAACACTTGGGCTTTTAATTTTGGATCCAACCCATGGACAATATGGGCTTTAACATTCTCTTAATTTCGAGGCCCACTAAAATTGGGCATGGTTCGGTCTGACGCAAGTATTTGGTCGAGCGAAATTCAAACACAAGATCACGGATGTAAAATCAATGCATTTATTCGCGAGTTACAACCTCCTTGCATTCACTATGTTATCCAAGAAACGTTTATCATGGTTTAAATTGTGGGAAGTGATTTTCGTACTCTCATTTTCTCATAAAACCCTTTTTTTTACTTTTGATTAAATCATTAGAAGGAGCATCAACGAAAGTAAAGGAGAAAGCAGGAGTGTGTAAATTACTACCCTAAATCATAAGGCGGCTATTAAAACTCAAATGAAAAGCAACTTCTTAACACATTCATCTAAATTTCCCACTGCATTTACAAGCACAATTTACAACTTTTGAAGTTCAAAGACACATATTTGATCACTAGCGACAGAAAGAATACAAACAACAACGACTATCTCATTAAGTAAGGTCGCCTGTATGAATCATACAACATCACTGCACTTGGTTTTGCGGCAAAAGACAGAAAGAATACAAGAAAAAAAATTACAAACTTATCATCCGTACAGCAGCCAAAGGAAAAACTTACCACCCATATATCTGTGTCAAAACCCTCCACAACCACTTATTTCACAACCTCAAACTGCATCATATCACACTGCAGTCTGCTGCTATGCAACGTCCACACGTATGGACTGAACGAAACCCTCGATCCTTTTCCTTATCTCTTCCGGATTGGCGCCCACGAGCTTCTCAACCGTTGCACCTTCCCTCATCAGCAAAAACGTTGGCATCGCCATTATCTCCAGTCGAGTCGCTACCTCCTGAGAAAACACAACAAGGAGACGCCATCATAAACAACAACGAAATCCCCGTGAATAGCAGGTTTTAGTCCCTCTCTTTGATTGTCCGATTACTGCAAGTACTTGACAGGTAAGTCTTCCAACTTTCTTATCTTCGTAGCGAAAAGATTTGTAAAACACACATGACTGGAAGCGATATCCGAATAATTATAAACAAAAACTCAAGCAACATTCAAACCCCGAAACGAAAATTCCCATGAATGTGAGTTTTTAGTCCTCTTTGATCACCATTTCTTTGAATCATCTGTCTGCACCAAAAAAGGTTCGTAAACTCGTGAAGTTTGCCATAACCTCGAAGCAGATATGGCTCGAAAACAGCGGATCAAAAGGTCGGAAGCTACTTTTCAGAACCATCATCAAATGCAAAGATGTGTCTGTCATATATCTTTACCGGATTCGATATAATACATATACATATACAGATTAGACATATACTTGTTTGAAGAAATTTGGTTAATTACCTTAACCTCGTCGACATCAACGGTGAGAAACAGAACATCCGAATAATCTGAGGCAATTTCCTCGAAGAATGAGTTCATAACCACCGAAGGCATGCACCACGAAGCAGTGAAATGTGCAATAATCTACAAACACATCCAACCAAAAACCAATTCAACAACAAACTCATAATTCTGAAGTTGTGTTCAAATTAATCATGTTCACGTGCAACAGCCAAGATGGCTAGAGCTGTGTGCTTCTTTTGTGCAAGTTCGAATCCCCATTTTCACGAAGTTTAGATTAGATTAGAATACCGCTCGAATCAAACGGGAAATCGAGAGAGTTGAGGAGACTTACAGGGCAGCCTTGGTTGGAGGCTTGGGAAACATACAAGTCCCAAGTCTCCACAGAGTCGACTTTTATGGCTTTGGGCCTAGTGATCTGCTGCTCTTCATGTAGTTGACTTGCCATCTTCCTCTTCCTTCTCTGCTTCTTCTCTGGCTTTGGCTCAGTTGGGTGCCCTGTTTTGACAACTCTGGAATTAAAACTCTCTTATTTTTTGTCACATCTTGAAAGCAACAGGCTTGATATTTTCATTTCATGAAAACTGGTTGGGAAACAAACAAGATTAGGATTGATATGAATGCTGTTGGGCCCACTTTAAACTCATTGTTGACAATTACGGCGGATTTTTTTTTTAAGATCCTGTAATCGTGTTCGTTCATCACATATAGTGCGATAAGTTTTCGTTAGGTACTATTTATATTTGAATTTTAAATAATTTATAACCGCACGATTTATAATGAACGGATACGATTGCAGATCCTAGGAAAAGGATCCGGCAAAAGTCCTTTTCAGACAATTACTTTACTTTTAAGTGATATATTAATTTAGATTAATCTAGAGTGTGAGACGAGAAATTCAAACTAAGAAGAGTAAATTCGGTTTTTTTGTAATGTGACCAAATCTATCTATAAAAGCGAGAAGAAACAGAACTAGTGCAATTTCGTTTGTTTATTGGGAGAATGTGTATTGTTCCTTGTCAAAAAGTTAAAAAAAATATTAGAACAGCTTATAGAGAGTTGTGCTATTCTTTATAGCAAATCAATTATAGAGTGACATCAACTACTTTCATAACACCGGAATAATTTAACGCACATTTAAAACTGAATAACACGAAAGTAAACATGTAGATATAAAGATGGTCCCACGTCAAAATCTTAAAGAAATCTCAACGGTGGAATATATTAAATCATTAATTGTGATACAAGCGTTCATCACAACGATCAATCAAGTTACTAAGACAATAATTCTATATTGTCACAATTCATAAGCATCAAAAACTAACAGATGGATCTCTTAGGACAGGATACAAATCTAGAAGTACAGATTTTGTAGTACCTCGAAGCACAAGAACTACAAAAAACAAACCTTACACACCCCAAATCTGCCTCCATTCTACACACAACACACGCTTTCTCTCATACAGACGACATAAACCGAATGCAAAACGAAAATGATGACAAAAGCTAGCCGTAACTTAAACGATTATCGACAGGCTTCATGGACGTTTGCCTTCGAGGAATCCCGATTTCGCAGGCATTGACCCTAGCAGCGAATCGAAGAGAGCAAAGGGATTCCCCAACTGAAGAGGAATCCGGAGAGATGTTGACAACCATCAGCGTTTTCGAATCCCCTCCAAGACAAGGCTGTTTATACATTCAGATGTCATCCAACGATATAACTATTACAATTCCTTGAGAACAAAGAAAGCTGCCATAATGGTAAAACAATCAAAGATTACTATACCTGTAAAAGATAGGTCAGCTTGGAGTTCCTAAAAGGAACATGGTCCTCCTTTTTCGCCAAAGCAAATATGACGTCGCTCAACGATGACAAACTTTTGTTAATGGCCTAATTATTAATGACATTGTTAGCTAACCGATAATAAAAACTGAGAATATTTCACATCTATCCGGGAGAAAAAGATTGGGGATTTTAAAGAAGAAAGAACCTGAGTTTCCTTCAACCGCTCTCCGGTTGCGCCACTCCTTGACAATCTTTCACTTCCAGCTAGGTCAATAAGATTTAAGACTCCTTGGACTTGTTGTTCAGTGTTCTAACAAGGTTAAAAAGCATATAAGTAATTAAACTTAGAACAAGCCGATGAAAGATTGCTTAAAAGTACAAACAAATCATCGCATGCGGAAAACAAACCTCATTAATCCCAGATATACGCAAGGTAAACACGAAATGGCTTCTCGAAGATTGCTCATTCATATGAGTCTTGCCTACAGACCTAAGAGATCAAGAGATCATATATGACAGAACCAAAAAAGTACATAATCATATATCAAAAGTTGTATACAAAAATACCACTGATAGTACTGCAAATTAGATGTAACGCTAAAATGGCACCAAAGAAATAGCATTCAAGAATGAAAAGCCACATCAGTTTTGTGTTTTGATGTTTTGAAAACTTGACATAAACATTGCTAAGTGCAACCTTTCAAATAAAATATCACAAGGCCAATATGGATGCTCTTGAATTTTGATGTATACCTGCTATGTGCAGCCTGTTCCAAAAGAGATGAAATTTGATTTATGCTACAAACGTCAACGATCGTGAGGTCAGAAACGTATGTATTTCCATTTGCATCATGCTTTATCGTGTACTGCTTTCCGCAAACACCATTTTCTGTCTTTAACAAGTCTGCACTGCTTGAACGACTAGTGGATAACAAGTCACGAATGTTCTCATTATATATTTCGAGCATTGAGGCCTGCATATAATTAAAGGGGCATTATAATTTGCAAAACTAAATAAACAAAAAACATGATATATTACCTGCATTTTGTATTTCCAACCCTGAGCCTGAAGAGCTTGACTCGTTTGGAATATTTGCTCTAGTGAACGAGGTATTAAGCCTTTCTGCTCCGGAGCATCTGGTCTGCCCATCATAGTATAAGTTTTTCCGGAACCTGTTTGACCATAAGCAAATATGCAGACCTGAAAAAAGACAAACAGAATTTTCTATTTAGTACATGTCTTTGACCGTATGAAAGGTAAAAGAATTCACCAAAGAGGTTAGAAGCAGGTCTAATTCTAAAAACATAATCCAAAAATACAAAGGGAGAGAAGAAGGATCAGTACATAACCAAAATACCCAATATTAAAGCCTGACAGCCAATTGCTAAAGGCAAAAGTTATGCTAGATTATGGACTTAGAAACCAAATAATGGGGGAAATAAGCGTCACCGTTTAAAATGCCGAGAAAAAAAAAATCAGCCTAAAAAATAAAAAATCAGCCTAATGAACATGTAATTCCTTTAAAAGCATATAAATAAGATTTAACATGTACCTTGTAACCATCAAGTGCACTTTGTACAAGTTGCGATACTTCCACAAAAACGTCTTGTTGGGAAGTCTCGTGGTGAAACACTTTGTCAAATGTAAAATTAAATTTTTGGCCTACAAGTTCAAACATTTGAAGTGTAATTAGATCCAAACAACTGAGTAAAGTGGTGTATACGTCTATATGATTTTAAACTAGATTAAATTGAAGCCAAAAAACATTAGACATGCTCATACCACTTTGTACCAAGTCAACGCCTCTGCCAAGAGATTCGGTTGCTGTAGGATAAGAAACTACAGGGGTTTCTGTTGCATTAGCATCATCAGGTAGCAATGGGCGGACTCGACAGAATACCCTGATATTACCTTTTAATTCCTATTAAAGAAGAATATTAGTACCCTGAAATCTTGCTGATTATATAACATGTTAAGCAGTGAAAAATTACCAGAATGGTGTTATGTAATTTTTTCCTTAACTTCTCTCCTTCTAGTATTTGCAACTCTGATTCAGCCAGGCGGTTTTGCAGCTCCTGCACGATTCTCTTATGTTCTTCAAACTCTGTCAATGTTTCTGAAGCGGATCGACTGACCATCTAAAAGAAAATAAACGGTATAGGTTTAACTTATGAATTGACAGGTATAAGAAACATTTTGAAACTCCTATTGAATTAATATTACCTTAAGTTTATCATTTGCGGCAAATAACTCATGCTTTAATGTATCTATCTCCTGTTTTTGAGATGAATCTCTTTCCTGGAAAAGCATGCCCAGCACAGTATTAAAAAATTGATACATGAGGAAATCATAAATAAAAAATTAAAACAAAATAAAATGAAAAGAATGTAACACAAACCTCCAAGGCTTTTGATTTTCTCATCAACCTATCTAACTCTTCACACGACAATTCAGTGTTTTCCTTGTACTTCACCACTTGATCCCTCAAATCTTGAATCTCTCTTGCATGCCGATCGCGGTCATCTCTAACTTGTTGCAGTTCCCCACGAAGGCATTTGATTTCATTATCTAATAGTTCCTTCTGCTTTAATGTTTCTTCCAATGAAGCCTGCACAAATGTGCATACAATAAAGAGACGTGATATATTCTTAAATTCCAGATGAATAAATGGATTATTCCCAATAAACCATCTCTTAGTTGACGAAAAAATTGAACTAAAAATAGATATCATCAACGCAAGGAATGCTGCACAGATACTTACTGTTACTTTAGCCAACTCATCTTGCAACGCCTTATTGTGAACCCTCAAATTGCTAAGGGTCTCCAGAACAGTCCTTTTCTCATCTTCAACTCGTTTGAGAGACTCGGTGGCAGTTTCAAGATCTTTTTGGAGTTTGCTATTGTACTGTTGTAGACTCTTGTTGTACTCTTGTGCTCGATTATACAAATCCTGATACGAAGAAACCTGCAGCGACACAATTTTAGAAATATACCAATTGCAAATTTTGATAAACCGGAGGGGAATTGGGAAAAGAAAAGTAATATGCAGAAAGAAGAGAAAAAAACTGACTGTATTACCTTCTGGTCTGCAACTAATTTCTCCTCCCGCATTATTTCAAGCTTCTGTGAGAGAGAAGCTTGCAACTTCTCAGCAGCATCCCTTGCTTCCTTTTCACTTCTATGACTAGCAATTGCATCCTGTATGCCAAGCAAAGGGATGAAAATAAAACATGAGACGAGAATACCACGAGCCAAAAACAAAAGCAGGGATAACAATGATATCACCAAAATTAGTGTGTAACCACATGACTGGAAACCTTACCAACTTCTCTGATTCTTCCTTTGCAAGTTTCTCTTCCAAAGCAGCCATACTTTCCCTCAGCTTTGAGTTTACGGCATTGAGCTCATCGACCTTGTTTTTCATTTCCACCTCTTAAGAAATAAAAAAATTGAACACATATTACAAATCTGTTCCTCTGAACAAAAACTTTTAAATATCAAGCACAACAGAACCATATAGGTTCGTTTGTAACCGAAGCACGATACTACTTGACGAATTACTTGAGATTTCCAACTAAAAACTCTATATTATTATGAAATTATGCCACTCCAACAGACAATGGAATGAATAAAGAATAAACGACTACCAGTATCCGAGCATTTTTTTTCAGCAGAAGCCAATGCCTTCCGAAGCTTTTCCTCCTCGAGAATATGCCCTTCCTCAACCTGCTGCAACCATCTGATGCATAGCTTCAGCCTCTTGCTGTAATCAGCTAACTGATCAGCTTTCCCCTGCCATATAATCAATAGAAAACGTTAGAACAAACCATCAATTCATAGTTCAAAATAAGCACACAAAAAAGCCCTATTTAAAACAATTGGGTGAGAAATAAACCTTATGATCAAATTTCTTCACTTTTAACTTCTCAACCAACAACGCCTCGACTTCTTCCTTGGTAAACTCAACATTGCCACACTCTGATCCCTCCACACTGCCTATATCGCCGGTACCTGCTGCATCTTGCTTAACAACAGCAAGTGGCGGTCGTTGGCGGCCATTGCTACTCGGTAACTCCGGTTTTCTTGTTTCGATTCTTCGCCGCTTGTCTAAGGGAACTTCATCAAGACTACTCTTTTTCTACACAAAACAGAAACCCACAATTAAAATCCACCATTTGAAATCCTTCTGTACACACTCCTACTCAACGGATCGATATGATAATAAACATTAATTTTCAACCAAACCCCAACATTCATTTCCTACATTTTCCATCAATTTCGAACCCAAAACAAAACCAAAACTGTCAAGTTTAAATTTTTTATTCTATTTTTCAAAAAATCAAAGTTATGAAATGAAAATGTAAAACTTACAGAAAACGGACTCCGAGGAGCCCTGTTCTGGTTGCGAGAAGCCATGAATCAGGTCCCGTTCTTCGCCGTCGATCTGGTGGAGCCGATGGTCGGATTTGCACAAACTGGGGTTTGGATTGGTGAGATCGAATTAGGGATTTTGGCAGAAAGGAGAAAGAAGAGGGAGGAGAGTGAAAATTTTGAAATTGGATCTGGCGGTACACACATTAACACGCTCCTCCAAAAAGACTGGTGATTATTTGGGCCGGGTCGGTTTTTTGTGGGTCCAAGGACCCAAGTTAATTGATTTATTTATTATGGTCGTTTTTCACACATCAGAAGAATTTTATGAGGTGATGTTATTTTCACGTTCATTTTTACGTTTCACACACGGTTTTTAATCTTTTCTTTTAGTTTTTTTTTAAATCATTTAATCTGATAATTAAAATTTGAGAAAAGTGTGTAGGGTAAAAAAGAAAAAATGTCTAAATACCACTACCGTTCTTATACCATCTCATGAGTCCAATCCACGTTGAAAACACTACCATAAAATTGAAATTTATAAAGTTTCAAAGTAGATAAGCAAACACCTGAAGATTAAAACAACACATAAACAATCTAAGATTAAAAAGTATGAAGTACATGATGTTCAATTTTCGTGTATTGCAATTCAATATTTTTGTTGATGCGATGACATGAAATAGAAATAGTGAAATTTGGAGGCTTCAATCGATATTTGAGAGAGAAACATAAATAGGTTGCATTCGAATAACGCTATTTGAAAACCAAAAACTCAATGGAGCATTTCCATAAATTGTTTATGATTTTTTCTTCCTTTTTTTTTGTTCGCATGGGATTGAATATTCCGACATAACAACCTAGAATTGTATCACTATAAATTCACTTAATCCGTTTTCAAATTTCAATTATTTTGGCAGACATTAAATTTGGATTTAACACACGAATGGAAAATTCATCAAACATATTTGGTATACAACATATGAGATTTTCACAAAAATTTGAAACTTAAAAATACCAATTAAAATTTGCAAGTGTTAGTTGTGGCTTCCAATATGAAAATGGATGCTGATTCCATGATTTATTGATTGGAAAATAACTCATGTGCTTCGGCAAGAGTACTTCAGCATAACCTTTCAGTGGGTCTCTGAATGTATGAAGTTGACTAATGCTCGATAGCTTCGAGGTTGGTGAAATATGTATAAACAAAATTCATCCTCTAACCAATGATCAAATAGATGTAGATAATCCTTTGTACATAATTCCATCTAGATAAACAAAAATAGAACAAGAACTAAGAAGTGACTTCGATTGTAAATAATTTTAGAAAAAAAATTCATGTCACGAGTATATGTAAGTACAACAAAACAAAGATGCGTAATGTCATCTAAGAACTTAAAATGCGTAAAAACTGCACAATTGATTCAAAAATATTGTCATAATCACATCATGAAAGTAGGGGAGTTTCTCAAATTTTCACTTTATCAAAATCTCATGGTTGACGGTTGTGACGAGGCTCAAATGGATGCTATTATGCTAGAGACTAATAACATCATTGTCATAATCTCATGGAGTCCACGTGTCCAAATAATACAATCCTAGTTGGAACATTATCCAGCTTGTCAAATAGAAAATGCAACAAGGAACACTTGTCAACCTCCCATTGGCTACAGCCACATCCAGCTTATCCAACCAGAAAATGGCAGATAAGGTCCTTGCCCGGAGCCACTCTACATCACATAAGCATAGAACAAAACATCACAAATCATCCACCTAAAAAAATATAATTTCCACATTTCTGCCACTGAAAACTGATCGTTGTTAAATAACAAATAAAACTATCTCAGAAAGTTAGGAAGGTTCAGGAAATGGCACAAGCTATGGCTTCAGTGGCTGGCATGCACGGCTCCTCCCAGGCAGTTTTGGAGGGCAGCCTCCACCTAAGTGGCTCGTCACGCTTGAACACGGTCAGCAGCACCGGCAGGCTAGCCGTGGCGAGGTCCGGGCTCACCATTAGAGCCCAGCAAGTGCCTTCGGAGCCCGAAACTAGCCGTAGGGCCGTGCTTGGTCTCGTCGCGGTTGGTTTGGCCTCCGGGTCATTTGTCCAAGCTGTGCTTGCCGAGGCTAAGCCCATCAAAGTCGGTCCTCCTCCACCACCCTCCGGGGGATTGGGTAAGCCCTTCACTCTTGACCTTGTCACTACTTTTCAGTCTTGGCATGGCAATTGCATTAGAATACTAAAACATAATACAGAAACTTGTTACGAAGCTGAAAAAACGTATAATGTTTTAGGACTCGTTTGAGACTGTTTCTGTAAGAAGCACTTTTGCTCATGAGTCTTGTTTTTATTAGAACACAAAATTTCAAGTGCTTATTGAAAAAACACTTAATTTAATTGCATTATTAATCATTGGAATTGGATTTGCCACACATTATATTTAGTATGAAAGGCATGAATTGTTAATTGGGTGTGTTGAGGAACTTATGGAGGTGAATTTGTTATCGTTGTGGCAGCTGGAACCCTAAACTCGGATGAGGCAAGAGACCTTGACCTGCCATTGAAGGAGAGGTTCTTCATCCAACCACTCACTCCGGCTCAGGCAGCCGCGAGGGCGAAGGAGTCAGCCAAGGAGATTTTAGCTGTCAAGGAGTACATTGACAAAAAGGCATGGCCTTACGTCCAGAACGATCTTCGTCTCAGAGCCTCATATCTCCGTTATGACCTCAAGACCGTCATTTCTGCCAAATCTAAAGCCGAGAAGGAGCCCCTCAAGGAACTCACCGGAAAGCTCTTCAAAGACATTGACGGCGTAAGTTCACCACGACACAAACACTTTTTTTACTTGACTTAGATTGTGGTTTGTATTGATTCATACACTTATGTTTTTTTTGTGTCTGGGGACAGTTGGACTATGCAGCAAAGATCAAGAGCACCCCGGAAGCAGAGAAGTACTACACCGCAACCGTATCTTCCCTCAATGATGTTCTTGCAAAGCTTGGCTAAAACCCTAAAAGGGATTAATGTATTTGATGTATAAGGCTTTTTAAGAGCCTTGTTTGCCTGTTTATGAGATCAAAATGTTTGGATGCTATTTGGAGGAAATCTAGTGATATTTAAGCATCATATTTTTGCGCGTTAATCGTGAACATAATTGTTTGTTTCCACAGAAAAAGATGCGTGAAAACACTGGTTCTTAAGATGAACATATATAAAGTTGTAATTTTGTAGACAAGAACGATGTAACTGAAATTTCGATTGCTCTTGATCGAGATCATAAATACATTCCACTTTACGTACACTCATGAGTGAGTGAATTGATTCAAATATTTCGTCTAGAACAAAATATAAAAAGGTTCAAATTGCTCTTGAAGGGGAGAAGTATAACAAAAATCTTGAAGATCAACATGAACAGCTTCAATATATAGTAAGATGAGCAAAGCAAAAAGGGAAATTTTGCAAACAAAAACCCATGTGGACTGAAATGGTAATTGCTCTAGCTAGTAGTCTACTCCTCTAGTCTCATTCCCTTTACAGTCACGAGGGTTGATTTGCGTAGAGCAAGTCGTTTCTTGAGGAATTCCGAACGTTCCAAAACCTCAAGGTCCTCAGTTTCCATGTCATAGGAAAGAACTTGCCCTTGGCCATTTCGAAACCTGAGTGAGCTAGAATGAGCTTGTGTGAGAACTAAATGATCCGTCCAAACTGTGTAGTCAACCTTTAAATTTTTCAAAGGAATGATGATCTTGTTTCGACTCCATTTGTGTTCCTTGAAGTCTTCTAACACCAAGATGTGAATGGCTCCCCCTACTGTTTCAGCAACGCCTAGACAGAGATCCCAAGGAAAAGCCCGAACATTCTTCAAATTTAGGAAAACTCCCTGGGGCAAAGTAGTTGTGGTGAGACATTCACTCCACAGATCAAGAGACTGAATTTGTAGGCACGAATCATCATTGTGTTCATCTTTTATAATTTTGGAGATATAAATAGCCCAGTTAACCTTATCTTCCTCACAACAATTTGGCTTCACCACCCATCTGCCTTGTTCCAGAAAATTCAGCTTTTGGCGGAGCAAGGGTCTCCACATTTCATCCTTTCCAATTGTTATAACATCAACACCTACTAAACTGCCCTCTCGGCGATAAGCACAGGCCACTTTACACTCACCAGTAAGGGAATTAAAACCGAGGTCCAGAACTACTCTGGTACCCTCGGGTGCCTTGGGCAAGTAGAGCACTTTGTGGGTTGCAGGATTTCTAATACGGCAAACTTGAGAAGTTTTACTCTTCTCCAAATACAAGCCACTACAATCACATTGAAGCTCGAAATCCCCACAGGAAGCAACTCCCTTCATTCTCTCCTTATCCCATTGGCATTGATAACAAGGTGGCAAACCGTAATGTGTTAGAGCCCTATGCTTTTCTATGAACTTGTAGCCCTCAATTAACAGACACCATTGCTTGCAGACACACTTGAATCTCACCAAAGACACCACGGGCAGCCACAACAAAATCTGAGCAACAATATCAAAGGGAAGCTCTCGTAATTGTTGCCGCGGCACTTCTTCTTCTTCTTTGGTATCGACACATTGGACTCCCATAGTATCGAACATGGGATTAATCAAAGCTGCAATGAAAAAACAAAATTAACAAATCCAAATCAGAACTGGAAGACCTTCATATGCGACTCCGATACTCATTAGGATAAAATATTGTTTACGGACTTTGGATTACAAGAAAGCGATGCTCGAGCCGGATTAATTTGCCGGAAATATGTAAAAATTGAACCGGCAACAACCCTACAAGGTTTTAATTAAAATAAAAAATAAAAACAATTGAACCCTAGACACTAAAGAGGCAATCAAGGGTCTTGAACAAAGTTGAACAGAATTTTTCCAATGCCCAGAAGCTCGCTCAGAAGCTGCCCAACCCACCAAGTGCTCGACGAAATGCATTAGTTAAAAATTCGCATTATTTTCTTGTTAAATTTTTTTTGATGTTTTACAATCCCGAGATTAAAATCCTGAATCCGGCACGATAAGATTGTAATAAGAAAAACATGCAGCAATTAAATTAAAGAGATCAGATATTTACCATGATCGGAAATTCACAAACTTGTTGACAAGATTAGTGGATCCGAGAAAGCGAAAGCGATGCTGAAACCAGACGGAGAAGAACTTGTTCGTATTAAACACCTGTCACTCAGTCAGTCAGTGGTTCAAATAAACTCCGCTGCCTGCCGATATTTAAGTTCCACATCCACTCTACCCTACACAAAATATTCGCTTGAGCTGTTGGGTTTCTGGCTGGCTTTGTTTTGTTGGGCCGGGCCCTAATTGAATTTTATTTAAGAATGAGAATAACTTGAAAACTTTAAGTTTTAACAAAAATGATAAAAATCTGTTGTAAGTGAATAGTATCAAGATTGACTTTTTAGAGTAAAAATATGGTTTTTCGTTAAAGTGAACAGTACTGAGAGATTTTCGTTAAAGTTCCCTTTTATTTAAGGTTAACTAGTCGATTCAGTAGTTTTTTTGTTCTTACAAAAATGTTATTTTTATCATCTATTTGTATTATCTCACTTATAGAGATGAGACCCACATGTATTGGTGGGGCCATACTTCTACTGGAAAGAGGTTACAAGTGATTATACAAATAGATGGTAAGTGTATAACTACTCTTGTTCTTATTATTTAGTTTGAGTTCAATAATGGAACAGGACTGAATAATCCAATTTGGATGATGGTTTTTATTTTTTTATTTTTTATTTTTTTATAACTACATTTCAACCAAATTGAGCGCAGTGGCGTTTTAGGATTCATTCAGCTAACTCCACTTAGTGAGATAAGGTTTGGTTGTTGTTGTTGTATAGTTTAAACATAATCGAAGCAAAAAAAATAGTAATGCTAGGGAGATCAACTATGTAGACCAAATTATGTAAACTATATGATGTGACTGTTGATAATTGGATTATTATTTAAGTGTTCATTAACGTGCTCATTTTTTATTGGTGGTACATCACATAATTTACAAATTAGTCTAAAAAATTAGTCTACCTCTCATTACTCCGAATTTTTTTTTATGAAGTTGGTGGCTAAAGGATCAAACAGCTCCCACAAGTTTTGGTCCCTAACAATATTTGGGGTTTTTGCTTAACAGCCTTTAATGCTTTAGGGATTCTAACTCAAACATATTGGAAGGCCTTGGTCCAGTTACTGATTTAGGCTTACGTTTATTTATTTTCAAGGACACCAAAACAATATAATTTATAACTTTTCATGAATTTAAAGAAGTAATCGAAAACTTTACACTCATGAGCGAGTGAACTGAAAACAATCATTTGTATGACACCCTCGTGCGCATCGGGCAAGTAAAAGTACTTGGCAGTTTGCAAGATTTCTGATCCGACAAACTTACTTGAGAAGAACCACTATTATCCAGAAATAAGCTAAAATAACGATTTACAATGTTGAAATTCTCATCGGTAGCAAGTCACACTTAACTGGTCTAGGGGCTGGTTTGGTATTGATGTGCTTTGAAAAAAAGCTGCTGTGAGAATAAGCGGCTGTGCTGTGAGAATAAGCGGCTGTGAAATAAATCAGCAAAGTGTTTGGTAAACTTTTTTGTAAAAGTGATTTTGGAAAAAAAAGCAGTCTAATAGTGGGTCTTTTCATTAAAGAAGCACTGTAGCTCCGTGTGCTTTGAAAAAAAGCCAGTTTTCCAAAGCTACAAATAGCAGCTTCAACTTTTTCCTTTGATTTTAGCTTATTCTCACAGCAGTTTCCAAAATAAGCCCTTTTTTTCAGTTTACCAAACACCTAAAACCCTCACAGCTTTTTTTCATGGGTGCTTTTTTTTTAAGCACCTCACTCCCAAACTAGATCTAGTTCTCATGTTTCGCGATGAACTCATTGCCCTGACCAATTAACAAACACCATTGCTTGCCCGCACACTTGAATCTAACCAAATTCTCATCGGTAGTGAATTTATAATTGCTCAAACTTCTCTTAAGAAAGATAAGTGTAACAAAATTCTTAGACCATGTAATTCCAATCGAACGACAAAGAAAAAAGAAAATAAACACAGCAATGTAATCCTGTGTACTCGAGAAATCATGGGTTTTACTTCAAAAGTGCACCAACGTTTAAGAAGTTCAAGGGAAAATTTAAGGGCCTCTAGCTATGTTTCCACAAAACTCAGCAAAACATGTAGTGAAATCTTAGCATTAAGTGCTATATATGTTACAACTGGTGACTAAAAAAGTTCAAACTTACTGTAACAAAAACAGTATAAAAAGATGAACAGAAAAAATGAAATTTGGCAAAACAAGGAGCCCATGCGCAGTGAAATTATAATCCGACTAGTCTTGTACTCCGTTAATCTCTGATCTCATTTCCTTGAGAGAGATGAGGGTTGACTTAAGTAGAGCTATTCGTTTCTTCAAGAGTTCTAAACTGTCAAAAACCATAACAGTCTTCTTTTCCATGTCATAGGAAATAAGTTGTGCTCCATTTTGAAACTTTAGTGTATTTGAACAAGCTCGTTTAATAACAATTTCATCTGTCAAAATTGTGTCGTCGACCTTTAAATTTTTCAAGGGAACGATGATCTTGTTTTGACTCCATTTGTGTTCCTTGAAGTCTACCAACACCAAGATGTGAAGGTCTCCCCCTACTATATCAGCAACGGCTGGACGGTTATCCCAAAGAAACGTCTGGAGATTCTCCAAATCTACGAAAACTCCTTCAGGCAGAGTAGAAGTGGTGAGACATTCACTCCACAGATCAAGAGAATGAATTTGTAAGCACATATCATGCCCCTCGGTTATAATTTCGGGTAAATGAAGAGCCCATTCAACCTTATCTTCCCCACAACAAGATTGAGTCAGCACCGCTTTGCCTCGTCGCAGCCAATTCTGGTTTTGCTTGTGCAAAGGTCTCCATGTTTCGTCCTTTCCAACTGTTATCACTTCAACACCTACCTCTTTCTGTGCCCTATTGAAATAAACACATGACACTTTACACTCACCAGTTAGTGAATTGAAACCGAGGTCCATAAATTCTGTGTCACACACTTGTGCATCAGGCAAGTAAAGCACTTTGCGGGTTGCAGGATTTCTAATACGGCAAACTTGAGATGTTGTACTCTTCTCCAAAGACAAGCCAGAACAACAACATTTAAGCACGAAATTTTCATCGCAAACAGTCGCAAACAATTTTTTATCCCGTTCGCAATGATAAGAAGGTGGGAGGGTGTAACAGGTCCGATCTCTGTGTTTTGCAATGAACTTGTAGTCTTGAAGCAACAAAAACCATTGCTTGCACACGCACTTGAATCTCAGCAAAGACAGCACAGGAAGCCAACTCAAAATCTCAACGATAATTTCAAAGGGAAGCTCTGACGAAACTTGTGTCGGCCTTTGTCTTCGTTGGTAGTAACGCATCATTGTCTCAGTATATTATTCTAAGGACACTAGGAGAGCACGAGCAAGAGAGATTCAAAGCTACAGTGATAGAGAAAAAATCCCAAATCAAAATAGAACAAGAAGGTTCATTCTAAGCTATCTAATCGAATAAAGCACAACGTTTTAATATTTATGCAAGCCCTAGCTTTAAAACTAAAACCCTAATTCCTAGGGTTTAAGAATAACCTTCTAATCCGATAGACTCTAAATAAGTTACGACTTTGAATCAAAAGACTGTAAATAACAAGAGCTTACAAAAATTGAGATAAGAAATTACCTGAATTCAAATATGACGAGGTTTGCATTATAATCTATGGGAAATTTGGAATGTCCTTGAAGGAATTATATCAAAGATATGGGTTTGCGGCTCACCACCAATTATACTGGACCTCATATAACAAGTGGAACCATTTAATACAAGTTGCAATTACTTTGTAATTAAGCTGGCCGATGTGGGACTTTCATATTATTCAACACATACAAGGCTAGTAGAATCAAGAAAGTACCGCTCAAATGATGAATATATGAGAAATATGTAGAACTGACTACAATCTTTTTGTAGAAATTGATTTTCCTTGAATTGATTTGTGTATTAGTAGAACATATATAGCAAACAGAGGTTGACTTGAATAGCAAGTCTAATTTATTACAACCAATTACAATTAACGAGAGATCAATCTAGACGAATCTGGAGGGATTTGCGATGGTGAGATCTCGAGAGATTATAACCTAGACCTAGGTGATACCATGTAGAAATTGATTTTCCTTGAATTGATTTATACAAACATATATAGCATACAGAAATTGACTTGAATAACAAGTCTAAATAATTACAAGCCATTGCAATTAATAAGAAATCAATTTAATTAGACGAATGAGGCGAGATTTGTGGCAAGGGAATCTCGCTGACAAATTTAATAATAAATAAAACTGAAACCCTAACACCGAAAATGCAAGAGAGCACCAAACTATGGGGTTTCTTGAAAAGGTTAAAAAAATGTCTAATGCGACTTTGAAATTCGTCTAAAAAGAAAATAATACACAACTAAGAGTTACAAGAGTACTTTTCATAAGATCAGCCGAGAACAATAAAACTAATGAGATAAGAACTGCACCATGATCGCAATTTCACAAACTTTTAGAGATTGGTGGACAAGAATAGAGATAAGAATTTCACCATGATCGCAATTTCACAAACTTTTGGAGGTTGGTGGACAAGACTAATTATTCGATTCACTGTTTCTATTAATTTATCCCCTCCTAACAAAATTCAAAACAAACTAAAGTGGCGCTCCCAAACCATAACAAAAATTCAAACAAGCTAAAATCACGCTCTTAAACCAACAAGGCTCTCCGTTTTACAAGAGTCAGGCTAACGTCTATCGTAAAAATAATGTAACAAGCTACAACTATAAAATAAGTGGTAATAAAGCAACTCAAGATTTTTTATTTATAGAAGATGCAAATTAATGTAACAACTGGTATAGCTAATTAAAAAGTTCAAACTTATTTGTCAGAAAAAACGGTTTGGAAGACTGATATAATAAGACCATCGTCTATGATGAACAGAAAAATGCAAAGTTTCTCATTGTACATGAAATTATAATTACTCTATTAGTTTACTGCTCCTTTCTGGTTTCATTCCCTTGAGGGTCATCAGGTTTGACGAATGACGAGCTAATTGCTCCTCCGCTATCTGTGAATATTCGACATCCTCAATACTCCTTCTCCTCAAATTGTAAGTATAAAGTTGATCTCGCCCCGCATAAAATCGGGGTTGATCTGCAGAACAACTTTTGACGAAATAAATTTGATCCTTCAAATGTCGGTTGTCCTTTAAAAAATTAAAGGGAACAGTAATGTTTGGACTCCATTTGTGTTCCTTGAAGTCTTCGAACACCCTTTATGTTAAGGGCTTCGTCTACTACCTCAACCACCGCCGGACAGTTAACCCAAATAAAAAATGAAACTTCGGTCAAATCGGAGAAAACTCCTCTAGGAAGAACAGTGCTAGTGACGCGTTCACTCCACGGCTCGAGAGATTGAATTTGTACACGCAAATCTTGTCCTTGTTTTATAATTTCAGGTAAATGAACAATCCATTCAACCTTATCTTTAACACAACAACTTTGTTGAAGCAACCATTGGCCGCGCTTGAGTAAATTAGGGCTTGCATATTTCAAGGGTCTCCATTTCTCATCCTTTCCAATAGTTATAACTTCAAGCCCTACTAAATAACCCGTCTTCTTTGCCTTTTTGCGGTAAATAGATGCCACTTTACACTCGCCAGTAAGCGAATTAAAAGCGAGGTCCAGTATTCTTGTACCCTTGGGAGCATCAGGCAAGTAAAGTACTTGGCGGGTTGCAGGATTTCTAATACGGCAAATTTGAGAAGTGACACTCAACTCCACATAAAAACCAGCACAATGACAACTAAGCTTGAAATCTTCTTTAGAAAGAGCGACTGTCTTGCGACTTTTATGGTTGTATCGATAAGAAAGTGGCTAAACATAACTGGTACGATCCCTGTGTTTAACAAAGAACTTGCAGTCTTGAATCAACAAACACCATTGTTTGCACACACACTTGAATCTCAGCAAAGCCTCCACAGTCAACAAGCTCAAAATCTCAATGATAATTTCAAAGGGGAGCACTACTTGTCGAGGCGCCACACGTTTACTATACATGAAGAAACTTAGTTAAATTCGTCATCAGAAGATACAAATTTTTATTTTATGATATTACAGTGGAAGAGATGATAAAAAGCAAAATTAAAATACTATGGGAAGAACACAAACTTTTCAAATTCAAAGCTTAGGGTCTGCTTGGAATTGCTCATGTAAGAAATACTTCTCCTAATTAGAGTTGCTTATGTAAGAAATACTTCTCCTAATTAGAGCTTTCAGTACAAGTGTTTCTTGGAAGGTTTGAGGTATCTTCTTAGTTCCCAAACAACCTTGGAAGGTTTGAGATATCTTCTTAGTTGCTAATACACGAGTTATGAAGCCAATACATATAATTGTATAAAAACCCTAGCTAGTTTTGAATTCTTGAAAAAATTCAAGAAAACTATTCTAAAATAAAACAAATATAGCACACAACTTTGAATACAAGACTGAAAATAAGGAAATTAAGCATAAATAAAAAGTGAAACAGTTTTCAAGTTTACCATGCTCTTGTTTCCATGACGGCCTTGACAAAAGTGAGCCAACAAAACGATGCTCAAGATGATTCAGCATAAATAAATAAATAAATAAATAAATAAATAAAAAATATATATATATGTTTATGTACATACGGTGATTTACATGAACTAGAAGACTAGATAATCATGAACTAAACAGTAATGTCTATCAGAATCAATGATTTGTGTTAGGTTTTTAGATAAAAAGTTATCTCATCTCTTGTGTAGGCAGCCTATCAGAGGAGAGAAACTCTTATATTTGCTGTTTCGCTCGCTCACACAAAATTACCCAAAAAAAAAAATTCACTCTCTCCCCTCACTTGCAGAGTTCGAATCCCTAATTCCCTAAAACCCCAAATCTCCATCTCCTTCCATGGCTCCCAAACGCCCATCTCCGCTGGACGAACCGCCGGCAGCTTCTTCGTCGGAAGGTCAGGAAGTCTCGTCGGAGGAAGAAGAAGGGGAAGAAGAGGAATCCGGATCTGGGTCAGATTCCGAACCCGAAGAGCCTCTGCCTCCGAAGACCTCGTCTTCAGCACCGGTTGCCGAGAAGAAGCCACCGCCCAAGAAACCGGACTCCTCTGCCGCCAATTCCAAGCCGCAGTCTTCATCCTCTGGTTCCGAGGACGATTCCGATTCCGATGTGGATAAGGATTTGGTGGTGAAGCCGATTGCTTCGAAGCCAATGGAAGAGACGCCGAAGACAAAGAAGCCCAGATCAAAGCCCGCGGCTACTGCTACGCCGGCGGCGAAATCCGGGTCCAAACGGCCCAGCGAGACCGAGCCCAAGGATTCAAAGCGGCCAAAGAAGAAGGGAGCTGCGACGGAGCAGGATCCGGACCAGGTCGAGGAGGAAGCGAAGAAGTCCAAGCTGTTCCAGAGGATTTGGAGCGATGAGGATGAGGTAATTATCTTGAAAGGCATGGTTGATTATACCAGCAAGAAAGGGGCGGACCCGTATTCCGATATGGGTGCGTTCCATGACTTTATCAAGAAATCGCTGAAGGTGGATGTGAACAAATCCCAATTGCAAGCTAAGATTCGTCGGCTGAAGAAGAAGTATGCGACTAATGTGAAGAAGAAGAAGTATAATCTTACAAAACCTCATGACCAGAAGGTGTTTGACTTGTCGAAGAAGGTATGGGGCGGCAGCGGCGAAGGGCCCAGTGGTGACAACGGGCCATCTGAACAGCCAAAGTCTAATGGGAAGGCTAGGAATACCAAGACTCTGGCTTCGATAAAAGCTGATATTTTGAGCTCACCGGAGCGTTCAAAAGAGGCCGCGAAGTTGGATTTGGGTCTGAATCCGTGCTCTTTGGAAAGTTTGAGTGAGGTGATTGGGTTTGACAAGAGTTTCAGGGAGCTGGGATTACCGGAGGGTGTGGTGAAACAAGGTTTGGAGTTGATTGGAGAGTCCAAGAGAGCTGAGTTGAAGGACAAGTGGAGGAAGCTGCATGTTGCTGAATTGGAGCTTTTTGTGAAGCGGAGCGAGTTAATGAGAGATCAGACGAAGGTGATTCTGGAGGCTTTAAAGTCATCCGGCCATTAGAATGTTGGATCAGGTATACCAAGTCGAGATGTTTGTGTTGATGTCTAGAAAGATCATGTTTAAGGTTTTAGTAAATGTTAATTAAGAATTCTGTAGCGTTTAACTGCTTACTTTGTCTATTCGATCTTTCCATGGATAATGACTGGCCATCGGTGTGCTCCTATGTGTTTATTTGAGGTTGTTATTGTGGCAGAGTGTTATCTCCTGTTTTACTTCGAGTATTTATTATTCTGCGGTGTGTTGTTGCTGTCTCTGATAACGTTAAGCAGGGGTATATAATGCTGCAGCGATATTGCCGAGTGTCGTTGAAATCTTAGGTACATTACGTTGTTTGTACTTGTTTTGGTTATTTGAACATTTGAAAACAAATGTTGTGGCACTATTGAGTTTGTTGAATAGCTGCATTTGTTTTCGGTTACTAATCTTAGCGTAGAAGAGAATGATCAAATAAGATCATTCAAAACATGTTCATATTTTAATTCGTTAGACGTGCATCATTATCCTTACAGTTGTAGTTGATTCAATCATTTTATTGGGTCTTTCATATGATCTTCCTGGTAGTATGGTACTTGACATGCTTGGAGGTCTTACATTATCTCCAAAATGTTTGCACCAGTGGCCAGGCAGTGGATCTATT